CGGAGGGAGTATATGATTGATTTACGTATAAAATTATGTAGTGTCCTAGCTGATGTTACTATGATTTGTTTTGTTCTTTTGATGTTGTATCCTGCCATATTTTGCATTATCTTCTCTTTTTTAGTACTCTAATTTTTTTCAGGGACACAGCGAAGTAAAGAATAGCGACGGTTAAATCTTTTTTATGATTACTACATAAGCTTAATTTTTTTTTGTAACACTCATAGAGCTTGATTTTAAAACTGATTTTGATGATATCAAATTTGTTATATGTCGGACAAGTGGATGTGGGAAATTAGTCGGACAACATCGCACTATTAAACCTTTAACAAAAAAAACATCGCACTATTATTAAAAAAGTTAGGTTTTTACTTATAATGAACATTTGATTTAGTAGAAAAGATAAAATAACTTGACATTTAATTTGATCAATAAATTTATTATACCATGCATGTTATTTTTTGTTTCGAGTTATATGCTAAATTACAGTAACTTTAGTATAATGCCATTTAATGTTGCAACCCTAACTTTGATTTTTAACGGTGTTTATCTTTTTGTATTAAAATTTATGTGTTCAATTGATAACATTGGAAGGGACGTACATAACAAATGAATTAAATGTAGTGAAAAAGAAAAACAAATTAATTAAATGGGACGGAAAGGTTTAAATATGGTTCGTATGAAAAAATGTCCATGGAGAATAAATATAAACTGTATAAACAAGTAGCCTGGAATAATGTTAGTATACTCCCTCAATTTGAGAATGATCCATGTTTTAAAAAAAATGTTTTTAAAAGATTTATATTTACATTTCCGATGTATATAATAATAACAAATTGTAATTTTCAATATAGGTAATAATAAAAAATAGCTAAACAAAGAAAATAATATATTTATTATAAATTTTATGTGTTTTTTTAAATAAATGTGAAAACTCTAAAATATACATTATTTTGAAGAGAAAACGTATATTGTAATAATGTTTGAATGGTTTAAAGTGTGTTAGAAAATAACGTTGAATGTAAACAGAAATTCTCAAATTTCCTTAATGCTCATTATTGAACAGTATAAATAAGTATTTGTATACCATTCTAGTAGTTTATGTGAAAATGAATTAATTATGCTCAAGTTACAAAAAAAAAAAGAATTAATTACTACAAAGGCACAGGTTATGCTCCGGTAAGTGGGAAGCACGATGATGCCTTGACTTCGTAATAATGATGAGAATCCATATTTCGTAATCCTTTTTCTCCCAATAATATTCATTTAGTTGTACTACAATTTATGGGTATTCGTTTGAGTCGGAGAATCATTTTGCAAGTTTCTTTTTAATGAACAACAAAACTTGGTTACTTTGGTGAAAGTCCGAAACTTCTTTTTGTTTGGATCTACAATGTGTTTCTATATAGAGTGTCGATCCTGAGATTTTGGGGGCATGTGGCGATTTCTATGTAAAAGAAATCTGTGGGGGGGTCTAAAAATTTTTTTGGGGGTCTATACTTATGTAATTTTTTACAAAATTTTTGGGAATCTAAAACAAATGTTTCATTAGGCATTGCCCAGGGCCGGCCCTGTCTGTATATGAACGAAGGTGTTTGTAAATCATGATGCATAAGATAAGATTTGTCCTAGAATATTTTATAGTTTTGATTGCGTGTCTGCAATGAATATATCCTTAATAAAAAATAACTGATGAGAGAAAATGTTTTACTCATATGCAAGAAGTTTGCTGATGTATGCAAAATACATATGAAACGTCTTCCCCCAAGTTGTATACATACATATATATACGAATATACATAGTCAAACATATTATATTTACTGTACTGTTACATAGTTTAATCTCTGAAATATATGCTTACAAAAAACATCTACGAAATATTTAAGTGAACTATAACTTTCGACATGAACAAAACGTTCGTCATAATAAGATATAAAAATATGATAGTTAACTTTAATACTAAAGTATTAGTTTCAAAAAAAAAACTTTAATACTAAAGTCATAGACAACTAATTAGATACAAAAAAACGTAAATAGCTAATAATGGAGGTAGGTCTTTTTTTTTTTTTTGTCAAACTATGGAGGTAGGTCTAAAAGCCGAAAATTCGGATAGAAAACGAACGGGATTTACGTGATGCAAATTAATAGAAAATGGTTCATCATATCATTATTTTATATTGATTCAATTAATTATTATAAACTTGTGAACAGACAAATTTCGGATAAAATAATTGGCAACTGGCCACAGATGTAATGATTGATCCAAGAAAAACGCAGACCAAAACGTCGTCGTAATAAAGCTTTCCATAGTCAAAAGAAAACGGCATCGTTTTCCCGTGGCTCACACTTGTCTCCATCGTTCTCTCTTTATTTATCCACCCCCAAGAAGCCTTCCTCTCTCTCACCTGAAAAACCTCTCTCTCCGGTTTGACCCGAAAAGCTCTCTTACCAGATCTCTCTCCTTAGATCTGTTCGCTTTCAGACATCTGAGGTATGTTGTTCCCTTTTCTTCAAATCGAATTTTGTCACTTCTTCGTTTTTTCTGATATTCATCTAATTATCTCAGATCTATTCAATTTCTCTCGCGTCTCTATGCTCAGTTCTCAGATCTGTAATTATAATGGCGGAGACTCTCAAAGAAGATTCAATAATGATTCGAGAGGTCTGGAACGACAACCTCCTCGAAGAATTCGAATTGATCCGTGAAATCGTTGACAGATTCAGTTACATAGCGATGGACACAGAGTTCCCAGGCGTTGTCCTAAAGCCAGTCGAAACTTTCAAATACAACAACGACCTCAACTACCGAACCCTCAAGGAGAACGTGGATCTCCTCAAACTGATCCAAGTCGGGCTAACCTTCTCCGACGAGAACGGTAACCTCCCGACCTGCGGCACGGCTAAATCCTGCATCTGGCAGTTCAATTTCCGCGAATTCAACATCGGGGAAGACATCTACGCGAGCGAGTCCATCGAGCTTCTGCGTCAGTGTGGGATCGATTTCAAGAAGAATGTTGATAGAGGGATTGATGTTGTCCGGTTCGGGGAGCTGATGATGTCTTCGGGGATCGTTATGAACGATTCGATCTCGTGGGTTACGTTCCATGGAGGCTATGATTTCGGGTATTTGGTGAAGTTGTTGACTTGTAAAGAGTTGCCGATCAAGCAAGTTGATTTCTTCAAGCTGCTGTATGTGTATTTCCCCACGGTTTACGATATTAAGCACTTGATGACGTTCTGTAATGGGCTGTTTGGAGGGTTGAATAGGCTTGCGGAGATTATGGGTGTGGAGAGAGTTGGGATTTGTCATCAAGCGGGGTCGGATAGTTTGCTTACGTTGGGGTCGTTTAGGAAGCTTAAGGAACGTTACTTCCCTGGTTCGACTGAGAGATATACTGGAGTGTTGTATGGTTTAGGTGTGGAAGATGGTGGTACTAATGTTGCTAATTAAGAATAAATAAGATTTGATTATTGAGGGGAATGTATTGTTAGGTTTTAGGATTTGTGAGTGTGAAGAAGACCAATTAGATTTGTCTATGTGTAAATTGGCAAAATTGGTTTTTAGTAAGTGAATGTTGTGTCTTCTTTGTTGTTCATCTTTCAGGAAAACCCCTTTGATCAAATAAGGGGTTGAGTTTATGGATGTATATCATTTCAGTTACCCTTTTTATTAATAAATAATCTCAAAATTATAATATTATTTCGCTTTAGTATTCTTAGTAATGGCTTGTAAAACTCAATGATATCGATTCAAAAGATAAAACACAGAAATTTCATTGAGCATAAAAGCTTTCTATAATTGTTTTGATTAAAGGAGTTGTTGAAGATTTAACATGTTCTTAGAAAGAAAGAAAAACAAAAGGAAAAGCCAAAGATCACTACTACAATATTCATACTATGTCGGTGTATGATGCAACTATGCATTAAAACAAAAATTCCATTTTTTTATAATTTTCTTGAAATATGTAGGATAACCCCTATGAAAAAACTGAATTTTCTAGTTAAATATTATATATACTATTTACCATCTTTCGTGTTGTTTAAAAAATACCTAAATGCACTCCAAATTTTTATATATGTTTTCTAAACTTATCATTATGGTACATGTGAATCATTTCATAGTTTCCAATGATTAATTTATTTAACTTTCATATACCACTTAATATGTGGATTAACCCCAATAAAAATCCTATTTTCTGAAGAAACGAAAACATTTAAGGTCTTAAACCTTTTTAATATTCATACTATGTCAGTGAATGATGCAGCTATACATTAAAACAAAATTTTCATTTTTAATAATTTTTCTTAAAATATGTGAGCTAACCCCTATGAAAAAACTAAATTTTCTGTTAAATACTATATATACTATTTACCCTATTTCCTGTTGTTTAAAAAATACCTAAACACACTCCAAATTTTTATATATGTTTGCTAAACTCATATTTATGGTACATCTGAATCATTTCAAATTTTCCAATAATTAATTTATTTAACATTCATATACAGTACCACTTGATATGTGGATTAACCCCAATAAAAATTTTCTGGAGAAACGGAAAAATTTAAAGTCTCAAACCTATTTAAAATTCAGATTATGGCGGTGTATGATGCAGTTATGCATTAAAACATAAATTCCATTTTTTTAATTTTTTTTTGAAATATGTGGGTTATCCCCTATGAAAAAGCTGAATTTTCCGTTAAATACTGTATATATTATTTACCATCTTTCGTGTTGTTTAAAAAATACCTAAACCCACTCCAAATTTTTATATATGTTTGCTAAACTTATATTTATGGTACATGTGAATCATTTCAAATTTTCCAATGATTAATTTATTTAACATTCATATACCACTTAATAGGTGGATTAACCCCAATAAAAATCCTAGTTTCTGAAGAGACGGAAACATTTAAGGTCTCAAACCTATTTAATATCCATATTATGGTGGTGTATGATGCAACTATGCATTAAAACAAAAATTCCATTTTTAATTTTTTTTTGAAATATGTGGATTATCCTCTATGAAAAAATCTGAATTTTCCGTTAAATACTATATATATTATTTACCATCTTTCATGTTGTTTAAAAATTACCTAAATTCACTCCAAATTTTAATATATGTTTGCTAAACTTATATTTATGGTACATGTAAATCATTTCAAATTTTCCAATGATTAATTTATTTAACATTCAAATATCACTTAATATGTGGATTAACCCCAATAAAAATCCTATTTTCTGGAGAAACGAAAAAAGTTAAGGTCTCAAATCTATTTAATATTCATACTATGTCGGTGTATGATGCAGCTATGCAATAAAACAAAAATTCCATTTTTTTATAATTTTCTTGAAATATGTGGGCTAACCCCTATGAAAAAGCTGAATTTTCCATTTAAATACTATATATATTATTTACCATCTTTCGTGTTGTTTAAAAATACCTAATGCACTCCAAATTTTATATATGTTTGCTAAACTTATATTTACGATACATGTGAATCATTTCAAATTTTCCAATGATTAATTTATTTAACATTCATATACCACTTAATATGTGGATTAACCCCAATTAAAATCATATTTTTTTGAGAAACGAAAACCTTTTAAGGTCTCAAAACTATTTAATATTCATACTATCTAGGTGTATGATGCAGCTATGCATTAAAACAAAAATTCCATTTTTTATAATTTTCTTGAAATATGTGGACTACCCGCTATGAAAAAGCTGAAGTTTCTAGTTAAATACTATATATACTATTAACCATATTTCGTGTTGTTTAAAAAATACCTAAACGCTCTCCAATTTTTTATATATGTTTGCTGAAATTATCTTTATTGTACATGTGAATCATTTCAAAATTTCCAATAATTAATTTATTTAACACTCATATACCACTTAATATGTGGATTAACCCCAATAAAAATCCTATTTTCTGGAGAAACGAAAACATTGAAGGTCTTAAACCTATTTAATATTCATACTATGGCGGTGTAAGATGCATATATGCATTAAAACAAAAATTCTATTTTTATAATTTATACTATGGCGGTGTACGATGCAGATATGCATTAAAACAAAAATTCTATTTTTATAATTTTTCTTGAAATATGTGGGCTAACCCCTATGAAAAAGCTGAATTTCCGTTAAATACTATATTTACTCTTTACCATATTTCGTGTTGTTTAAAAAATACCTAAATGCACTCCAAATTTTTATATATATTTGCTAAACTTATCTTTATGTGAATCATTATAAATTTTCCAATGATTAATTTATTTAACATTTCAAATACCAGTTAATATGTGGATTAACCCCAATAAAAATCATATTTTCTGGAGAAACGAAAAAATTTAAGGTCTCAAACCTATTTAATATTCATACTATGTCGGTGTATGATTCAGCGATGCATTAAAACAAAAATTCCATTTTTTATAAGTTTGTGGAAATATGTGGGCTAACCCCTATGGAAAAAGCTGAATTTTCTAGTTAAATACTATATATACTATTTACCATATTTCGTGTTGTTTAAAAAATACCTAAATGCACGCTAAATTTTTATATATGTTTTCTAAACTTATCTTTATGGTACATGTGAATCATTTCATATTTTCCAATGATTAATTTATTTAACTTTCATATACCACTTAATATGTGGATTAACCCCAACAAAAATCCTATTTTCTGGAGAAACGAAAAAATTTAAGGTCTTAAACCTTTTTAATATTCATACTATGTCAGTGAATGATGCAGCTATGCATTAAAATAAAATTTCAGTTTTTAATAATTTTTCTTGAAATATGTGAGCTAACCCCCTATGAAAAAACTAATATTTTCTGTTAAATACTATATATACTATTTACCATATTTCGTGTTGTTTAAAAAAATACCTAAACGCACTCCAAATTTTTATATATGTTTGCTAAACTCATATTTATGGTACATCTGAATCATTTCAAATTTTCCAATAATTAATTTATTTAACGTTCATATACCACTTGATATGTGGATTAACCCTAATAAAAATCATATTTTCTGGAGAAACGGAAACATTTAAAGTCTCAAACCTATTTAATATTCATATTATGGCGGTGTATGATGCAGTTATGCATTAAAACAAATATTCCATTTTTTAATTTTTTTTTGAAATATGTGGGTTATCCCTTATGAAAAAGCTGAATTTTCCGTTAAATACTATATATATTATTTACGATCTTTCGTGTTGTTTAAAAAATACCTAAACCCACTCCAAATTTTTATATATGTTTGCTAAACTTGTATTTATGGTACATGTGAATCATTTCAAATTTTCTAATGATTAATTTATTTAACATTCATATAGCACTTAATAGGTGGATTAACCCCAATAAAAATCCTAGTTTCTGGAGAGACGAAAACATTTAAGGTCTCAAACCTATTTAATATCCATATTATGGTGGTGTATGATGCTGCTATGCATTAAAACAAAAATTCCATATTTTTAAATTTTTTTTAAATATGTGGGTTATCCTCTATGAAAAAAGCTGAATTTTCCGTTAAATACTATATATATATTATTTACCATCTTTCATGTTGTTTAAAAAATATCTAAATACACTCCAAATTTTAATATATGTTTGCTATACTTATCTTTATGGTACATGTAAATCATTTCAAATTTTCCAATGATTAATTTACTTAACATTCAAATACCACTTAATATGTGGATTAACCCCAATAAAAATCCTATTTTCTGGAGAATCGAAAAAAGTTAAGGTCTCAAACCTATTTAATATTCTTAATATGTCGGTGTATGATGCAGCTATGCAATAAAACAAAAATTCCATTTTTTTATAATTTTCTTGAAATATGTGGGCTAACCCCTATGAAAAAGCTGAATTTTCCAGTTAAATACTATATATATTATTTACCATCTTTCGTGTTGTTTAAAAATACCTAAATGCACACCAAATTTTTATATATGTTTGCTAAACTTATATTTATGATACATGTGAATCATTTCAAATTTTCCAATGATAACATTCATATACCACTTAATATGTGGATTAACCTAATAAAAATCATATTTTCTGGAGAAACGAAACCTTTTAAGGTCTAAAAACTATTTAATATTCATACTGTCTAGGTGTATGATCCAGTTATGCATTAAAATAAAAATTCCATGTTTTATGATTTTCTTGAAATATGTGGGCTACCCGCTATGAAAAAGCTGAAGTTTCTAGTTAAATACTATATATAATATTTACCATATTTCGTGTTGTTTAAAAAATACCTAAACGCTCTCAAATTTTTTATATATGTTTGCTGAAATTATCTTTATTGTACATGTGAATCATTTCAAATTTTCCAATGATTAATTTATTAACACTCATATACCACTTAATATGTGGATTAACCCCAATAAAAATCCTATTTTCTGGAGAAACGAAAACATTTAAGGTCTTAAACCTAT